ACAATTAGCCAACATTTGCAATATGTAGGAACTAACCCTTATGCCTATTCCCCAATATGTCTGGTCAGCTGCCCCACTAAAGCAACCAGACACCTGTAAAGGGCAGCAGTGATACAGGAAAATGATTACTTTAGTGACAATGGCGAAGACAAAAGTCCATACTGTACTGTGCAGGAGAAGGCAATGGTAGACCACTCCTGTATTTTTATGAAGAAAACTACATGGATTGAAAATAGAAATCATGGACAACATTTACAAATGTGTTTGCTAAGAATCAATGCTGACTCCCTGGCGAATAATCAGTTGGGATTCTAAAATGGCGCAAACATTTCACAGATGTATATCTGCTCTCACAATAGTTTGGATAGTAAACAGGTGATATATTAAAATTAAGTGCTTGCAAACATTAACAAACTGAGATCCAACAGTAATTTCCCTTTTCTTAATAAGTGGCTAAATCAAATTGGAGTGGATGAACCATTGCGGTCATATTTATATGCTGAAGAAGAACATTGACATAATATTAATTTGGAAGCTGGGGAGCTAACTCTAAGGTGCAGAGCATTATTTTTATTGAGGCAAGCATGTTGAAACATAACTTGGGAACTATACTTTAATAAAATGAAGTATAGCACAGGACAAACAAATTCTATTTGGTACATTCAGGGTTTTATTTAAGTTACCAAAGATGCAGTTGTGGGTTCCGGCGTCACCCACATGGACGCGCACAGTACGCGCATGCATTGTACCTGCCAGGATGCCTCCACAAGCCTCTGCGATGCTCCAGCTGCTCGACAGAGCATCACCAGGCACCGTACGCACCATACACGTGCACGGAAGCGCCAAAGGATTAAAGGACAGGTAAGGGGCTCGGGCGGGTGGGCGGGCCCTCTGGAGCACCGGAACAGAACAGTACCCAGTGCTCCGGGCAGGCTCTGGTACACGCGTACCAGGGCGTATCACCTGCAACCAGGGGTGGGTTTCAACCGGTTCGTGGCGGTCCCCGCGAACCGGTTGGTTGGCGAACCCGGAAGTAAGTAACTTCCGGGAATGGCGAAGGGCCCACCCGCCCGCCAGCGCTCCTTACCCGGTTTTGACGAGTTCTGCGCTTCCACGCCTGCGCAGGACGCATACAGCGCCT